TGGCTCTGGCAGAAGCAAGGATGGTGCCTACGGGTATTTGGGTGGTACAGGGGTGGTGCTTAGTTCAGCTCTGATACATTTGCCACAAGACACAGAATGACCTGCAGAGCAGAGGATGTCGAAGTCTGGTGTGCTTTAGGAGCTCCTTGCAAAAGGAAGGTTGTGATGGAGATAAGATGGAGCGGAAAGCAGGAAGGGCAGAGAGGGAGGGAAATGCCTAATAGGTCTTGCCATTCCTCTCACTTCATATCTGTGAGCCATGGGGAGTTAGCAAATCAAACATCTAGAAGCCAGAGGTGATGGTGGTAAAAGGGCAGAGGTAGGGGGAGTTCCACGAATGTTGGAGAATGCTTTGTAAGTGACCCTCACTCTAACTAAACCTACTGTAGAAAAAAATCTGCCTATTTGAACCAGACTGGATGGGGGTAGATTCTCCTACACGTAGCATCCCAGTTTCCAGGTTGGCTGTTAATTAATGCCCTGTGTGATACTTTCCATCTCTATGCAGTGAACAGATGAGGGGGCGACCTCTAGATTCCAGCATCTTCACCTTCGTTACACTTCCTCATCTTTGATTCTCAAAATAACCTCTGCTTCCCTGGACTGGCTGGCCCACCCTGAATGTGATTCATTAAGTGTGGTGTGTACAGCATGTTTTGAAAAGCTCCTATTACCCAGTAAGACGAATCAGCCCTGTTAGATCACTACAGTCCCAGCTTCAATCACAGCCTTGAGTTTGCACAACCAAAAACATCACTAATAGTCTCTTTCATCTCCTTGCAGCACAGTCTCTGGCCACAGGGTGATAGGTGAGGGGTTGGGAGAGTCACCCAAAGCCCTGGATCCATGCAAATGTTTTAAATTAGCAATGAAAATCAGACCTGGACCACTAGCCCAGGGAAATCCTGGGACTGTGACTCAGAGCAGCAGCTGGCATGAGGTGACCCACCAGAACTTTCAAAGGCTCAAAGCTGTCAGAAGCATCAAGTGCAGAAAATTGGAAAGAGAATGGGAATGTCCAATTATGAGGGGTGTTGACATTAAGCAAGTCACCTGAGAAGAGCCTGTAGCCCTCGGGGACAGCTGAGCTGTGAAACCCAGGATAGAAGAGGCAATGGTGAGGGCTGGAGGAAAACTGCTCAGCTAAGACAGGAGGGGAAATAACCTAACAGCAAAGGCTATAGCTACCACTTGCAGAAGACCTGTGAGTGCACCCACCAAGGGGCATGTGTCACCTACACTGTTGCATGGAACACTTGGATGAGACAACATGACTGTCACTACCACTTGACAAATAAGCAAACCTGAGGCATGAAGATGGCTATAAATGAACTCTGGTCAATCTAATTTTCAAATAATCCTAACTGTCACACCACTTAGACCTCTTCCAAATAGGGATCAACATGGCTAGCCCCCTCCATCCAAGGATCCTGTTCCTTCTACCTATCTTTTCCCAGTACCACTGACACTGGTGAGCCTGTTCACCTTACTTTTGCCCACCACATGGGTCCACCATTTTCCTATCCCCTTACCTAAAGAGAGAAAAATCCAGGCTGGGGCCTTTCAAAGAACTATCTGGTAATGTTTAAAACCCACTATGGTGGTATACTCAGACTTCAGATGAAAGACCCATGGAGTAGAAAGATCCAGAAGCCATCTGAAGCATGCCTCAAACACACTGAGATGTAAAAGATGAACTGAAGGCCACTTATTAATAAAATACTTGGTCCCTTAAAGAAGGAGCATTAAAAAGATGTCCAAAGCCCTGAAATGAGGAATAAAGATACCAATTTCCTTTATTCCCCGATTCATCTGGCTTAGTATTTTAGACACATTGACTTCACCAAGGCAGGCTGTGAGGGTCACTGGGAGAGGAAATTTCTTCCTGCCAATGACGCCATCCACAATGAGCAGATATGCATTCAGTCCTGCTGGGGAGGCCCCGAAGAACTGAAGGGAAGGTTTTCAAAGAATGGACTGCAAAGTTATGAAGATATCCAGACCCTGGGTCTGCGACCTGGGTGAAGAAACTCCACAGACCAGACTAGGAGACTCATAAGAAGTTCGTTGTGGGTATTTCTGATTTTATTTGGAAGATCTTGAACAATCTGTCTTCCTTTCATTGTTCTAGAAATTAATCTTGACATCTTCTTGGACATTTTTCTGATCCCTGATAAATTCTTTTTGGCTAGAATCAGATGCAATAGGTTCTTGCTAAATGTTTATTTGCTAATTGAATGATTAAATAAATGTTTTCATACTGGATCCACCACACTCTGTTCTAGAGGAATGTGTGTCAGTGGTTCCTGTTAGCCTCAATGGCCCTACTCTGTATAATATAAACACCATCACTCATAGCTACTAGACCAGGAGAGGACACTGTCCCCAAATACAGTTCATCTGTTTGCAGTCTGGCCTGTGAGATGGGCCTCAAAGCAAGATGAGCAGGCCTAATGATATCCTCCACTTTCAGGGACCCAGAGAAACAGGTACTAAGTGGGACATCTATTTCATACCCCTCGCCTCCAGGCTCAGGAGATACCATGGAAGAAGGAGCAGAAAGACTGAGAGTCAAAAGTCATGGGCGACCAGGGCAAAACTGTGTCTTTTGGACATGACAGGACAGCTGAACTCATGAATTCACAACATCTGTGAGCACCTGCACAAGACTAGACCATCTGATACAACATCTGCATAAGACATGAATAAGACCAGACCATCCCATATAACACCTGCATAAGACCAGACCATCTGATATAACAGCATGGAGAGAGAAGAGGCTCACAGGCCCTCATTTCCAGCTGAGGAGCTTTTGGCAGTTGATGCTGCTAGGGGAAGGAGAATTGGTTTTCTTTGGATATGTGATCCCTGATTGGTTGGCCGTGCTCCTGATAATGGTCCCACACCCTTGCCTATATGAGCAGCACAAAATGGACTCAGTAGGTCATTTATTAAAAAAAAAAAAGACATAAAATTGGGAGAGGTGGGGTGTGATGGATACAAATTAAGGAGAATATTATGGAGATTGAATATAATCAAAGTGCATTGTATGTCTGTGTGAAACTCTCAAAAACTTAATAAAAATATGTCTTTACAAAAAGTACTAGGGGAAGCTGACACTGTGTGTTCCGAAGGGACTGTAGGCCCCATGAGTCCAGAGGTCCTATCTATCTTGTTCCCAACACTGTTCCCAAAGCAAAACACCCTGAATCATAAAGGAAATACTCAATAAAACTCCAGAGTGAAGAATCAAAGGGCATCATCCTGGGCAGCAATTATGAGACAGGTGCATGATGGATGATCTAGGAAAACTAGCCAGCTAATGAAAGAGCCTGGACTCAGCAGTACAAGGGTGTTAAAGAAGCAGTGAGAACAGGAGGCAGAGACAGACAGACAGACAGACAGACACACACACACACACACACACACACATGCACGCTCACACACACACACACACCAATGCTGGTGGTTCTGGGGACCACTGTCTGCCTCTCCCATCATCACCATAGAGGACCTGTTTCTTTCCTGTAGTCCTAACAGCCCAGGCTAGAGCAGTAGAGCATCACTGCACCCTCATTGGGAAGACCACAAGTTGTTCTTTTCTTTCATTTATTTGGTTTGGGGGTTTAGAAAAAAAGAGAAGGGACCTCTCCAAAGTCTTGTGGGATTGATGTCAATCATCAGTCAGGGCTGAGCATCCCTTGCTACAGTTTGGATTCCAATGGCTCCCAGGGTTAAGGCTCAGTCATCACTCAGTGGTGCTTGGGAGGGTAGTGGAAACTTTAGGGGGTGTGGCCTAATGGAAGGGAGTGAGGTCACTGGGGGCATGTCCTTAAAGGGGATATGGAGACCTTCACCACACCTCTTCCTATCTCCTCTTGCTTCCTAGTTACCATGAAGTGGGCAACTCTCACACAGGCCTCCAAAATCGTACAGCAATGGGGCCCATCAGTCATGGACTCAGACCTCTGAAACTGTGCAGCCAAACAGCTTTCCTCTTTTTGAGTTGATGTCTTGGGCACTTTGTCACAAAGCAAAAAGTTGGATTAACAGTTTGCTTTCTTTCTCTACTGGCGCTGTTCATTTCTGGCTTAGTACAAGTCAGGGTCTCACTCAGTTGAACCTAAGTTCCAAGGCAACACCAGCACCAGACAGAGGATCATAAGGGAAGTGCAGTGGCTAGCTCTGTGCTCAGAAAATTATCCAACACCTTTGATAATTACTTTCTTTCTGGAATAGAGGAAAGAACATGCAACCCTCTCACTATTGCTAGAAGTAAAAGCAGCACCCAGCACATGGGACCTACCCTGCATGCTAACAGTAAGTTGGGTGACCTTCTTTGTCTGGGAAACCCTACAATCCACAGAGGATTATCCTGTATTTTTACACATGTGACTATCACAACAGTATGCAAGGTCTGCAAAGTAGAGCATAGCACTCCCATTTTACTGATGAAAAAACTGAGGCATAAGTAGGCTGGATATCTTAGTCAAAGAAAGTGGCCATACTCCATTCCTAATCTTCTGCCCCAGCACAAGAATACATGATAGAACCAGGTGGGGTGGCTTACACAAGAGGTACCAGTACTTGGGAGGCTAAGGCAGGAAAATTACTAAGACTAGAAGTAGAGGAAAAGTGGGAAGAAGGAGAAGAAGAAAGAGAAAAGGGAGGGGAGAAGGCAATCAGGTGGGCAATGGATAAGCTGCCATTCTTTTGCAATATCCACAAAACCTTGTTCAAGTATTTGTATAGAAAATGTCCAGGAGATATATAGATGAATGAATGAATAGGCAAGTGAGTGGATGGGTTACTTTGTGAATTAATAATGTATCTAATTCATGATTCACAACAAAACCTAAGAATCTCATCTGGACTGAGATTCTCACAGGCCTTCCTCGTATATAACTCTTTCCCTCCCCTGGAAGCATCTGTATCTGAGCCCTGGCACTCGACAAACACCCACCACCATCTTTGTCTGTCAGCCTGTCCAGTCTACGTACTGGTTTCTGCAGTTTCGTACTCGCTGTCTCTGAGAAGTTCAAAGATGTCCACTTCCACCTTGGCCTTGCCCAGTCTCTCTGGTGCACGGTTGATGCGGTTCTTGGCCAGGGTAATGGAGAGCCGTTCCCCTCTGCTGCACTCCATGGGGTCATCCAAGATAGCAGCTGTGGGTAGGTAACCATATGGAGACAGTTTGTATATCACCCACAACCATTACCCTTCTTCCTTCTCCACCCTCTCCAAACTGCCATCTTCTTTTTCCGGGCAGCTCTCCCCCCCATCCCTCTCTACCTTGACACTGGCAGAACCCCCCAGAGCAAGTTCTCTGTATGCTTCAGTCTCCCATCGATCGCAGACAGGTATAGCAGTGAATTCTAATGGGATGCATGCCTGAGGAACAATGCAATGCCACAGCCAGCCACCAGGGGTCCTACCTGTCTGAGGTCCCTGAGCTGGGTGCAAAAATAATCTTAGAGACTTATCCAAGTACACACAGAAAAGCATGTGCATGCTACCCTTTTGGAAAAGGAATTCTAAGTACATGGGCAATCTCCCTTAGGAAAGAGAAGGCCATGCATTTGTGTGGGACAACTGTGGGGGCAGGGAAGCAGCTGCAGGTTACTGTGGAATGCTTGCACTTTGGTCTATGGTATCATTAGCTATGTCCCCCAGGTGAGCTATGCAATTTTCTGAATGTCTTATCTTCACTGAACATTGGCGTGTAAAGAAAAACCCGCTGACTAGTCTAGGGATTCAGTTCAGGCAATGGAGGTCAGTGACCCATCCTCTGGACTTAACCAGTGTGACAATCAGTGTGGAGGATTTGGAGAGAGGTGCAGTATGAGTAGCTAGCTGCCCTACCTCTGGGTGCAATATGCAGGGAATTACAGAGAATTGGGCTCTAGTGCCAGGCCCACCTTTATTAGCTGAAGGATCTGTTTCCTTACTTGAAAAATGGGCTGCTGTGAGAAGAACATGAGATGGGACATACTCAGTGCAGTCTTACATCTAGTAGACACTCAATACTGACTACTGAGATTCTTAATTCTCTTCCTAAGGGAGCTGACACAACACAGAGACTTTTTTGTAAACATTAACAGCAGCTACTCATGAGTAATTATTCACCAAGACTAAAAGGTGGAAACAATCCATATGTCCATCAACCAGAGAGTAAGGAGGATGCTGTCTTCCTATATAATAGATTGTTACTGGGAAACATGAGGAATAAAGTATTTCCACATGCGACAACATGGATGAACCTCAACAACATCACACTAAGCAAAAGAAACCAGACACAAAACACAACATATCAGATGGGTCTATTAACAAAGTGAATCCATAGAGACAGAAGGCAGAGTAACAGTTGCCTAGGGTTATGAAACAACCGTGAATATAGCAAAAGTCACTGAACTGTATACTTTAGGTGGGTGAATTATGCAGGATATGCATTTTACCTTAATAGAGTAGTTACAAAAAAAAAAAAAAAAAAAAAAAAAAAAGAAAGAAAGAAAGAAAAGAAAAGAAAAAAAATATCAAACTCATCTTTCAGAGGTTGAAGGAAACACAGAGTATATCATAATAGACTTCACAGCCACATGGCCCTAAGTCGCTATGGCCTAGTGGATCAGGACAAATGTTCCTAAGTTCTCCTGTTTACAAGTAATATGATCTTGGTATTAGCTTTCCATAATGCTGACAAAATCCCTGAGATAATCTCTGTACCTTAATGGCCCAGGCTCCATGCTGTTGTTTTGCCCATTGCTGATCTACACACAATCAACATCTCACAAAGAAAATACCAGAACACAGCACAGAGCATAACAAAGCATTTTTCCTGACTGTGAATATATTTAATTTATATGTACACTCTCAGTGAACAATGTAAACTCAATTTCACATTCACAGTGTAGCCTCAAGCATGGGGCTAGTGAAGGTGAGTCCCAAGGCCTAGGCAATGAAGTCGACACATTAACTAGAAAAGCACACATGAGGTGACCAGCCACCTGTAGGGACGGCCAAAGAATTGTAACTGGGAAGACTCAAAAGCCCTGCCAAGGTAACCTGTAAACACGTGTCTACATTCTTTGTGAATGGGGCAACTTGAGAATGTTCTGACCAGTCAATGTTCCTGTAACAGTCTCATTGGACTGGTTCAGGGAGCAAGACTCAGAATGAGACAGCAGAAATGGAAAGAGTCCATTGAGGCCATAAGGAAGCAGGTCTAGGGAGGAATGACCTCCAAATGATGTCCCTTGATGGACACACGACTCTCCCTCTAAAAGTAGACAGGTGATATGTAGCCCCCTGCTAGTGGTGCCCTCACAACTGGTTATGGATATCAGGCTCTACATAAGATTTGATGCTGAAAAATGCTTTACACTGAAAATTTCACATCAGCAGTTATACTGGCCTTAGCACATAGGGAAGACATCTAAGAGTAGGAACTGGCAGTCTGTCCTGGATCCAAGCTAGATCTGTGCCACATACTCAGCAACAACAGCGTGTTTAGTGGACACACTGTGTACTCAGCAACAATGGTGTGTTTGGTAAACACACCATCTCATCCTCAACTTCATAAGATCGGTGTCTCATCTTCACATGAGATGAGAAACCAGGGTTCTGTAAGTCTGGTGACTTGCCCACACTTTCAGAGCTGGCTAGTGATGGGAGGAGGACACCGGCTCAGGTTGGCCCAACCTCAGACAACAAATTTGTCCTCTCAGGACTTGGGCTCAAGAGAGGGCATAGCAGGTAGGAATCCTGGATTTTATGGTCACTTTAAAGGCCGTATCGCCAAGGCAAATCAGCTCTGAGACACTAACAGTGAGAGGCTGGATTCTGGACCTCTGAAACCACCCAGGTAACTTCTCTGCTTTCCTACACACTCACACCCTGATGAAAGTTCCCAGCTGAGCCATCCTTAGTTTCTTAAGTCTCAATATTAACATCGACTAGAAGTTTTATAAATTGCTTATAATAAATTAACCACTGAAATAATCTCCCAGGAAATGTAAGTTTAGATCTGAAGTATACCACAAATGCTAGAGCTATTGGTGCTTCAAGAGGTGGGCCATAGCTGAAGGAAGTCAGGTCACTGAATGGTAACCAATGATCTTGCCACCTCTACCACCCCCATCCCTGTTCACTTGAGCAGAGTGGCTTTCTCTGCCACATACTTCCACCATGATATAGAGCCTCACCATGGATGGCCCCTAAAGCAAGAAAACGAAGCAACCAAGAGCTGAAACCTCTGGCACCACAGGCCCAGTATACCTTTCCTGCTTTAAGCTGACTGACCTCAGAAGTTTTGTCACAGTGATGGAAAGCTAATACAAAGTCATATTCCTTGTGAATACGAGAACTTAGGGACCTTCTGCCCTGGGTGCTTATGTTACAGCCTCGCTGGCTTTGCCACTACTCCATCGGTACACAAATGGCACAATTACAGCTGTATTACAAGAAACAATACACATCCAAGAGTCTGTTCCAGATACAACTGCTTCCTTCTCTTCTCTCCTTCCCTTGCCTCTCATCTTCTCCCTTCCCACCCCTCCCCTCCTCTCTTTTTCTTTTTGAAAAAGGTGTATTTAATGTGTGTGCTGTGGGTTTCATTACATCTCTTTTGCTGCCCACCCCCTTCCCAATGCATTTTTAAAGTTTTAACTCCCAATGTGTCAATATTTGGAAGGAGGGCCTTCAGGAGGTAATTGAAGTTAAATGAGGTCACAAGGACGGGGCTCTGAACTCATGGAATTAGTGTCCCTCTCAGAAGAGAGAGTAGGGAAGTCACTCACTCACCCTACTATGAGGAGATGGCCAGGAAGAGAGTCCTCTCTAGGAACAAACTTGGTCAGTAGGAATGATTTTAATGTACCAGAAAACACCGAGAAATAAAAGTTCTGTTTAAGCCACTTGGTTTGCAATCAGCTCTAAACTGATTAAGGCAGTGTGTTAATACAAAAGCAGATGTCCAAGCCCCCAGTCAAGTGTGTCTCATACTGTACATCCAACATCCAGGGCATCATCTAATGTGCTGAGTAAGGAATAGCGGAGAATAGGAGGGAATGCAGGAATCTGATGCTGGACCCTCTTCTTCTTTCCTTCCCCACAGGGCCCTTGGAGGTATGTGACAAGGGCTTATCAAATTCTGTTCCCCATGCTCACTCCCAGGCCATGCTGAACACCATATGTCACTGAGGTTTTGGTTCTTGGTGGCGATTAATTTGTGACAGGGAAGAAACTTGACTGGGTGGTTGGTTGGTTTGCATCAAACATTTTGGAACCAGAATATTTAGCTTGAAAATAGGCACTGAATTTTAAAGCTATGGATGCTAAACATAAGGTGGAGACTTGGTCTCCCAGGATGCTGAAGGAACATGTCACCAAAAGGCAGTTACCAAACAGCACACTTGTTCTTCAGCAGTCCCAGGAGAGGGGCCAGATGGATGAAACAGAGCAGTGTGCTCAAGACTTAATGTGCAGCGGAGGCTCCTGGACCACACTGGGTCCCTCTGGCCCAGCTACTAGGCTAGGCCAGAATGTTCAGAGTTCACAGCTGCTGCCAAATGAGGAACAGTATGAGCCAGCACATCCTATGGCCCTGGGGACTGTTCTGCACAGGAGTCAACTAGGAGCCACAGTGAGGCTGAGAAGTCTGGGCTACAGTGGCAAGAGGCTACAGAGGGCAAGGTTGCAATGGGAAGACACATGTAAGGACTCGGGTCTGCCCTGTTATCTAGCCTTGAAGATCCAATGTCCAGTGCTTTTTCTGGACCATCAGGGTTCAGCACACCTTCTTTATGTCAAGAAACATTTGCATCACACAGACCCTCTCCCTCAAACACCAAGCATTATGTTCTCTTCTGAATTCTCTCCCCATCTGGGGTCTGGGAGCAAATGCTGGGAGGACAGCCTGTTGACAGTGTGCATCCTGATGCCAAGTTCTCCTCCCCTTTCTCCTCCCAGTGTGTGTGTGTGTCTGCTTTGGACAGGTTGGCTTCCTTTGGCTTGATGGGCCTGGCCCTAGACTGCTGGCTAGCTCAGCACTAGTGAGTGTGACCAGTGATGTACAGCTACTGATTTGCTTTTTATTACAGCCTGAAGGATGGTCTCTCAAAGCATTGGGAATTGTCTTTGGTCATCATAGCCTGGCATCCTCTCACTC